TTTTTTTTTAAGTTAAGCAACTCCAGTCAGCATGCAGTTTGGCCTTTTCCTGCCATATGATTGAGCTTTATAATATCATTAATTTAAAGAAAGAACTAACAGAAGTTTATTATATTCATATAATTCTACTCTAAAGGTAGACTACATGACCAAACATTTGGGGTCATTTTTCTACACTGCATATATCACCTTAGTTGCAAACCAGAAAGCTTTAATTTTTATTACAATCAGTATACATATCTGTCTGATCTATCAGAATTTGAAAATTGGATTTCTTTTTTAAAAAACCAATTAACTAAATTATAATGGCCCAATGTCTAGAATGCATAATAGGGACTCCTAAACAATTAATAATTATTTCAACAGCTTTTATACTCTCAAATATGTATTAAGATGTCTAAAGTGAGCTAATGAATAGCCAAAGCCTACCTAAGAGCAGCTTCCCAAAAGCAGTTCTTCCCACAAACATCAGAGGGCAGCATCCAATAGGAATTCCAGTAAGATAGAGATACATTCTTACACCTAACAGGATAAGACAGAAACAACTCTGTGTGAATAGTTTGTTTCAATTTACTGTAATCGTGTAATGCCTTATGCATACTTCTTTGTTTAAAAACCATCCACTTACTGATTAGTGCTTTGAGACAGTTCCACACACAGTTTATCATTAATCTATATAAAAGTACAGACCAAATGTAAACAGAGTACCGCATGTATCCTGAGTATGAAGCCCAAAGGCTTCATACATATTAATAAGTAATATATGGGGTACTGCTCTGAAGGCAGAGTAAGCGGACCTTACTCTTTTCAATACGATTTGCAACCTTAGTATTAGGCAGATTTTCCTTTAAACAATAAAGGTACTTTTTTCAGGGAAAGCTTCTAATGACAGACCGCAAATCATTTTATTACAATCACAAGCTCAATCATCACAATTATCATAATCAGGTAACCAGTTCAATTCCTTAGCAAAAAAAGAAATATCCCATTTTTTTAAAAAAGTACATGGAAGAAACTGTGATAAAAGATTAAGGCAGGAAAATAGTTGTTTTATACTAGAAAGGTTCTATCCATAGAGATATGACTGATCACTGAATGGTGCCTGATGTGAAACATTCGTTGTACAAATTGCAGAAGGCAGACTGGACCACTGTCTTCATAAGCTGCTCTTCTGAGAAGTTTTTTTTTCCTATTTCACAGATTTCATACTGCCAATTCTACAACTTTTCAGTGATGCCCCACATATTATTGCAACATGCTATGATTCTTTTCTTGTCAACTTGGGTCCTATATTTCCTTATTCCTTTTGGTTTATATTTGACTTTTTTTTCTTTAGGCCATCTGGGCTATCAATATTACTAATACTATATTACTATAGACTACCTCGTTTTTTTAGACTCCTGGACTGTTATCTGTCCATAGTTCAGGCAGTGCTTATAAACAGTTAATGTAAAGCTTATGAATGATACAGTTCATATGCTTCAGAACTAATGGAAAAGACACCTCAGATCCTAATTTGAAAAAACTCCAATCTCTTTACTGAGTGTATTTTAGAACACTATTAATACCACACCTTACCTGTTAGAGTAATTAGCACTTATCTATTTTCTTGGTGTGTGTGTTTTAAGCTTTCCCATCAATATTTCAGGTGAATTGCTACCAAACTAGAATAGAATTACTATATTTTGCCAAGTCTTTGCTCTTCTCTAGCAAGGCTCATTAAAAGAATTCATATACTTCCAAACAAATGCCAAACATCCCTGCTAGTTACCAACTATCCTGGGCAACAAAAAGCCTATCAAATACCCTCAACCTCAAACATCTGTCCTAGTAACAGGCTGTTTCATGCCAGACGTCCTAGTATCTGGTCCCCATCCTGACAGTTAAAACTAATAAACAGGTATAATGAGGAATCAGGTGTGCTAGCTACAACCACACCAATGTTGTACGCCCTCTATATGTGTGCTGACTATCCATGCTAGTTACGAGTTTTAAAACTCAATTATTAAACAATGCAGTTTGAAAGCATGTAAATGAGAGTAGATAAATAGGTACTACCACGGTGGGAAGGTAACAGCGCTCCATGTCTAGTTGCGCTGGCCACGTGACCACGGAAACTGTCTACGGACAAAACGCTGGCTCTACGGCTTTGAGATGGGGATGAGCACCGTGCCCTAGAATCAGACATGACTGGACTAAATATCAAGGGGAACCTTTACCTTTACCTTACTGGATAGAGTGATAGACTCAGCCATGGAAGCTTACTGGAGGAGCACAACTGGTAAAACAATTCCTTAAATATCTCACTCACTTAAGGTTGCTGTAAATTGGTGCACAACTAATGGCACATTCATACATACTCTAATAGTTAACTGTTAGTCTGCACTGAGGAATCTGCAAAAGCTTATGTGTTTTTAAGATGAAATGCAACTAATCATCTACTTTAACCCTACGAATGCAATCTATTTAGAATGATAGATTCCCTGCAACTGGCTATCATATTAGCTTGCTAAAATGCATTTTAGCCATGTAGAAATGCTGTCACAATATACTGGATACACAGTGTCATGACTCACATGCAAGGTGTATTTAATTCACAGTTTAAATTTTGAATATAGATTGTTTGATAATTTAAATAATTTGATTTAAAAAAATTATTGATTTTTATCCACTATGCTCACAAGTGAAACAGAATGCACAAAGGCTCTGAAAGAGAGGTTATAATTTCCTAGATTTTTCTCATAAACGTATCATAGGCCAGCTTTCAAAAATCAATCCAATACAAGCTGAAAGCAGTTATATTTGATTTGATACAGTTTTAACAATAAAGCTGCTATAATTACAGTAACTGATTAATTTTAAAGTTGCAAGCTCCACAATAAATAGTGCTGAGAGATTGTGACTAATCTCTGCTCCTCCCACATTAAAAACACTTAGGTAGAGACACAAGTCTGTCCTTGCACATGGAAAGACATCAATTGAATTAAGATATGTCTCTCATAAGACTAATATTAAGCATTAAACTGAAGCTCCCTTCAGCAGCTACAGCAGCCATAATCATCATTATCATCATTATCTGCAACATGGGCAATGTAAATGGAATAGCATTAAAAAGTGGTGATACTATAAAATCACTATCAAATGATGAAAATTATACATTTCGAATACTATGAGCAGATAACATCCTGCACACTAAAGTTAAAGAAATGACAGAAAGGGAATACCTCAAAAGAATGCAGAAAATCTTAAAATCAAAATGGTGGAAATATAATCAAACCCATAAACACATGGGCAGTTCCAGTAATTAGATACCCAGCTGGAATAACAGATTGTACCCAAAATGGATGAGAAAAATTGGATCAAAAACATAGAAATTAATGAACATATGTCATGCACTACATCCAAAAAGTGATGTGGACAGAATACAATTGCCACAAAAAATTGGAGGCTGTGGATTACTGCAAATACAGCAGGTAGTAGAGGAAGAAGAAAAAAGCCTAAATGATTATATTATTACAAGTAGAGAAAAATTCATTAAGGCAGTGAAAATGGAAAATGGAGAATATTTTGAAAACTACAGTAGCAAAGGCTCAATATAAGAAACAACAATTTGAATATAAATTAAATAGCTGGAAAAATAAACCACTACATAGTCAACACCTGAGAAATATTGATAGAAAGCATGATCATAATTCAGCACGGGCAAGGATAAAACCAGGGAACATTAAGAAAGAAACCAAAGGCTTGATTTTAGCTGCACAAGAACAAGCACTCCAAACCAACACGACGAAAGCTAAGATTTAGCAAGGAATTGGTGGTAACTATAAATACCAATCTTCCCAAGAAAAAAATGACACCGTGTCACATCTTACCTGTGAATGTCCCAAGACTGCACAAACAGATTTAGAAAATTAGACATGAGAGAGTGGCAAAATTAGTGCACTGGTCACTGTGGAAAAAATATAACTTGCAAGCCTCCAAATACACATGGGAGATATCAGGTAGAGAAAGTATCAGAAAATGATGACATCAAGATCTTGTGGGATTTCCAGATCCAAACTGATAGACACCTTGAACATAACACATTAGACACAGTAGTAATAGAATGAAGAAATGTTTGGATCATTGACATTGCAATTCCAGAGGATACCAGAGTTGAAAATAAAGAACTGGGGAAACAAACAAAATGCAGAGACCTGGCAATCAAAACATCTCACTTGTGGATGAAACACCCTTCAATGGTTCCCATAGTCATCAGGGCTTTGGGAAAATTACCAGGCTTTCACACAGCATTATAAACAGTTGCAGGTCTCAAAAATAACACCACCGGAGCTACAAAAATGGCAATATTAGGAACAACATACACACTGTCAATATTTAACAGATACTTAGGGTTTTGGTTAAAACTTTTATCTGTTATATAATGCTAGTCAATGTTTTTATAATTTGGATTGACTGTGTTTGGTATTTTTGAATAATAATGTGCCATCAAGTCAATTCTGACTTACAGCGACCCTCTTCAGAGTTTTCTAGGTAGCGAGTATTTAGAAGTGATTTACCATTCCTTTCTTCTGGGGGCACCTTGGGAGTGTTCAGCTGGCCAAAGGCCACACAGGCTGGCTCTTCTCCCAGGAGGTAGTAGTAGTAGTAGTAGTGGTAGTAGTAGTAGTAGTAGTAGTAGTAGTAGTAGTAAATCTGCTGTAACATGGACAATGGAGATAAAGCACTGCCAGTGCATTTGTAATCATAGTTGACACCTGATTTCTAATATTATTTATTTATTTATTTAACTTATATGCCGCCCACACTACCCGAAGGTCTCGTTGCCAAAACTGTAGAACAGCTAATGAAATCAAATTTTTAAATGGAAAAATAGCATGAAACCTTTTTAAGGCCTAAACCTCCATCCCTTTTAAATTACAGAGTTCCAACAAGTCAATACAAGGCTAGTTTAAAATAGACAACTGCAGAGGTAGCACTGCAGCTGGAGTATGTTTTATTTCTTTTCTACAGTACACTGTGTGGAGTCAGAATGACCTCAGGCAAGTTTCAGGCTTTTATGCTAATTCTTTTGCGAGAGTTTGGTGCATTTCTGTAAAGAACTGGAACAGCAATTACAGTATTACATCACAATGTTCATCTGGTAGTAAGAAACAACTTTTAAAAAGTATAGGTATGACCAGAAGCTTACCAAACAAATTAAATATCAATTCTTACCTTACTTATAAGCACTGAAACACTCAATTATCTTAAGCTATATAAAACATTTTGATGTACCATGAGACTCAATTTCCAATATACAATGACAGGAAATCATGAACTAAACCATAACAGAAAGAAGCAGAAATAAGTGATTCTTCAAATAAAATAAAAGGTGGATTACTCCATTGACTCTGAACAGTGTCATTTTCAGGTCTGAAGCAACACTATAAATTTCTGTAAATGTGGTGTATCAACAATGTCGATGTGCTTCTAACAGGGACACAGAATCTAAAATCTGTTAATATGTTATAATATA